GTGTGTGTGTGTGTGTGTATGTGTGTGTGTGTGTGCACCCGTGGTCGAGGGGGTGGGGCGACCCCTCCCCCACCAACCAATCAATCAACCAATCAATCAATCAATCAAAAAATAATAATAATAATAATAAAAAATTGAATAAAGAAATAAACAAATCAATTAATCAATCAATCAATCAATCAATCAATCAATCAATCAATCAATCAATCAATCAATCAATCAATCAATCAATCAATTAACGAAAAAACAACAACAACGAAACTAATCAATCAATCAATCAATCAATCAATCAATCAATCAATCAATCAAAGGCGGGGCGGGGCGACCCCGCCCCCACCAATCAACCAATCAATCAATCAATCAATCAATCAACGAAAAAAAAAAACCAAAAAAAAAACGCATTTTTTATTTTTTTTTCAATTTCTTTCCATTTCGCCCATACCCCCCCATCCAAAAGTTGAGCTTTTTCGTTTTTTTTTTGTGTGGGCTGGGGTGGGGCCGGGGATGCGCCGCCACGTGGCGTCTCCCATTTTTTGAAAGTCGATCCCGCGCGGCCGCCACGTGGCTTCAAAGCCGCCCGTTCGCGCGGACGCGTCTGCGGGGTCCGCGGACTGGCCACGTCCGCAGATTCGGCCGCGGATGGCCGCCGCCGAGGGTGTTACATAGATTTTCAAGGATCGGCAATATCGAGTTCGCGGATAACCAAACAACACAGCTTGCGAATCTTAGCTTTCCGAAAAACATCGTCATAAGTAACTCTGACGACCAACCGCTTCCGAACAGGCAGACGAAAACAAGAAGAAATGTGTTTAGAGAGAATTAACCGAAGACGAAACCGGGAACGTTTCTCGGAAAAGCATCTAACAGCAGAAAAAGCAGAGATAAGAGATCCTAGTTCCCAAGTAGCCAGAGAGCGCCGCTCAGACGGATTACTAAGCAAAGAGGCCAACGGAGCTTTGAGGGCCAAAAACTTGCCACAAAATGGAATGATGGAAGAAAAAGAAACAACAGACCCATCAACCAACCAACCTTTAGCGGAGCGAAGCTGATCTCGACCGAAATTACTGACCATAATAGAAGAACCGAATGCACGTTTCAAAATCTTCCAACCGTCAACTCGCATAGAACCCCCTCTGCAGACAATGGTCACCGAATCAATCTTAGACTCGCAACAGAAATTTAGAATCCGAAACAAACTATAGGAAACTATGCCCACAAAAGAATGGAACACTATCAACTCATGAGAAGCCGAAGGAGATGGGGTTTTCAAAGGACGAACGTTGTTTCGAACACACCTCTTGCGCCTCTCCTTCTTACCTTGCTGAGATCTACGACAATGACGAGGACGATCCCTGGAATTCAGCGCGGGGCAATAAAACTTAATAAAGAACTTCTCAACATCAAGAAGATCATCCTTTGAACAAAAACAGATCGGAATCGCCACATAGCTCTCCACCCTACAGCGACGGAACCAACTATACAAATTTTCATTACGACAACCCTTATTAACCAAATCATCACTTTTGGCACGGTACACATGCTCGCCCCATCGAGAAGACAAATCCCGACCAGTGCTGCCAATGTAGCAGTGCTTCTACAAAGGGGAAACGAGTAGATAAACCAACGGCCCATCATCGAACCTACCATACTGAGACCGCCAGCTGTTGGAAATATGACCAATAAACTTATCCGCCCAAGGAATGCACCCGCCAAGAATAAGGCCAATAACAACAATCTGTAAAAAGGAATTCAAAATCTTACACCGTAAATACGAAGACGAACTAGCCCTCAACTTGCAACAACTGGGAAAGAGATTCCATAGCGTAGTCACGTCCGGGAGAGACCCTAAGATGCAGCCGAGTCTCCCCCGGAGTCCTTACCGTTGACCGTGTCGACCAGATCCTCCGAGACATCTACCACTGAATCTTTGGGAGGAAACGCCTTACTAACACGTGAGGCGATAATGTCATGAACAGTCTGCTTAACGCCGGCATATTTTACCCCTTCCTTCTCACAGATCGTAATGAGAGCATCCTTGGTTAAACCTCGCAGATCCTTTCTAGCTTCTCTGACGAAAGTCGCCTTCATCTCTGCATCCTTGGAACTACCTTTCCCACAAGAGACCTTCTCCTTACCTTTGGCCGTAGCAGCCTCGTCCATCTTGCCACGTAGATTAGAACATGGAGTCCTCGTGGCTTTATCTTTCTCAATCCGATCCCTCTCTAACTGTGCGATTCTCTCCTTAGCCTTGTCGAGCTCCTGCTCAGCCTCCCTCCTTGCGTTGAATTCCCGAATATGGATCTCTTGGATGGTCTCCACCTCCAGACGATGCATGTCAGCCACCCTCTTCAAGTCAACAGAGGTCACCGACGATTTCAAAGGTGTAGACCGAACAGGGCGTAGATTAGACTTGGCGACAGGTGTTGAAAGGGTGATGCAGCCTCTTGCATGGATGCAAAGCCTCCTCCTGCCACTTCTCGGCATCGGTTCGGGCTTCATCGCGAGCTCTAATCACCTCGCCCATTTCTTTCTCAATAGCCTCTAATCTTCGCTTGGAGGCCAGAGCATCCTCCAACTGAGCTTTCATCTTGTCCTGCTCTGCAAGCAATCTAGCCAACAGCCCGTCATTCTCTTGGATCACAGCATGCGTAGAGTAAACCGAAGCATCGGCCAGAGAACTTCTTCCACCCAGCCTCTCAACCTCCTTGCGAAGCGCTTCGATCATACTGCGGCCACTTGCTTACTTAAATGAAACGAAAAATCTTCATATCACACTTTTTTCCTTTGTATACTCGTGTTCGTTTTATTTTATTCTTTGCTCTTTCGTTGCTCCCCTCTCTATCTCTCTATCTCTCGTAATATATCTCTCCATCTCTCTCTTTCTCTCTCTCTCTATCTCTCTTAAT